GAAAACTCTGCAAAATTATCCTTTATTTAAGAGAACTATTACTCGATTTTTGCATTCAGAAAAGCTCCCACAAATTTTGGGTGCTGAATCTACTGATCGACTGTACCGTAGCGATGGCGTTTGTGGTCTCTGAACACTATGGCCGGTCTCACCAGCTGTTCCTCAACGCCTCTACTTTGACTATCCCCAGCTTCATGAAAGGAATTTGACGTCTGAAAATCTCCGATACCGTGCAACCTCCCCCCTTCTTGACGGTCGATATTCTCCCACCGCCGGCAGTTTTTTCTCCTGAGCCCTCCAAACCACAAAAACCACCATCAACTATATTTTTATCCCTTAAGCTCAGGAGTTTTTTTCACTGCTGGTTGGATTTGTGTTCAATCGCTTCCCTTGACAATGCCTGTAAAGTGGCATTAAATAAAAATTTATTTATTTATTTATTCTCCTCCCCTGCAGCGATGCTTTTCGCGGCTTTTACTGCCATCTCCTCATTTCAACCCCAAGCGATTAGGTGACGGTCATGGCGGACTCCTCTGTTTTCGCCTTCATCTACTAGTTTGGTGGGTCAGCAAAGAAGTGTCATGGTCACATCTCCCACGCTTCGGTGGCTGACGCAGCCTTTAATGTCCCCGCCACGGCTGGACTCTAAGGGGACTGCAACCGACCGCGGTTGGATTCTTTTCGTCTCGCCATCCTTGACGGTTGCATATGTTGGCAATGCAAAATATTATGACCGCATCTGCAGCAAATAGCCTCATCCGGTTTAGGAATTATACTCCTACGATGTCCGTTTCGGACCCTTCTATACTACCATATGCAGGACGGTCCTATCCTACCCGCATATCTACTTTTCCATGAGTGACGGCTTCTTTCTTCTTAAAAACTAATCAGCTTTCCTAGGGGGGGTGCTCACCGACCGTTTCTACGGAACCCGCCCGTCCCTTTGTCCATTAGGGCTCTCTCGAGCTTATACCATGCGCCGCTGTGCGGCTGCTGGTTGGGATCGAGGGAGAGCCCATAAGGCACAACGGGACGAGTGAGCGCCCCCTCTACCATTGCATATTCCCGATCGAAACCGACAGGACAGTGAGCGCCTGGTCCAGTGGTTAGAGGCGTTGGACTTCTAACTTACGGGTCGCGAGTTCGAGCCCCAGGTGTTTCACACTTCGAGGTTGGGTATGGTTGGCTGACGACGACTAATAAGCCAGAAATGGCCATTCCAGTCTCCCTTGTCGTTGTTGGTAATGCTATCCTGACTAATTACCCATATCTATTTTCCTCCTTTCGAAAAAGAGAGTTTTGTTCACTGTTCGCTAACCGTTTTTTATATCAGACTGTTTATTTTCAAGCACGAATTTTGCATCATGCAATAACTGACTACCTGTTTTAAAATCCGCTCGAAAGTTTATGCTTCCATGCAATGAAAGTAGCACCAGTGGTATTGAATAAAACTATTTATTTGTTTCAGATCACAAAAATAAGTGAAAGTAGGATGACAGTGCTACGACCCCGTCCTCTAAAATTATACTGGAGACCAAAAGAGCAAATGAAACTGATTCTGTCTGAAAATGCCAACCCCAGTAACTCGCATAAAGAGGCTTTTTTCAACAGGTTTATTCTCCAGCGGGACGCTGAAGCGTTGGTAACTTGTTTCGGAATTAAAATCGAGGTTATACGGTGACGAAAACAACCTGGATATCTTCAAGAGGAAAGCAATTCAGAAACATATGATGTTCCAGCTGAAACAGCCAGTAATACCAAGAACGATGACAACTAGTTAACTACCGCAGACCCCGTCATGGAATCGGCCGATCGGAACGAGAGTATAACTTAATCCTAAACGCCCAGAGTTCTGGACGGATAGACAGATGTTGAGGAAACCCATCAAGCAAAGGAACGGGCTAATAGATATGATGCCCGCGGCAACGCAGTAATTCCCCCCTACAGTGACGAACGCAACGGGAAATTTGGCTGGCGGAAAATTAAGGCGTTTGTATGCAAATGTCCTAAGCATCGTATCGAAAACTTATGGGTCGAAAATTCGTCTTGCCGAACTATCTCAGGATGCTACAGCAGTCACCGAAATCTGGCTCCCCGGGGCATTAGTGGCAACGGAATAGCATTAGCCAGGAAACAAATACATCGGAAGGACAGAGGACACGGTCAGGGTGGTGCTATAATTGTGTATGTGAGAAAAGTCCTGGTGGTGTCGGAAAAGACCACCAAGTTTGCGTGCAACGTGGAAACTACTTGGTTGTCCATCAGGACTATTGGTTTCCCGTGCGTCGATGTTTATTTTATCTGATGATTACCTAGAACAGACCGAGTCGCCGACATTCATGTAGTGGGGCGGTAATAGACAACGCACCAGGAATTTGCTGGAACGCTATCTAAACGTCACGCCCAAAATCAACCTTCGACAACCAAGTAGTGGACAAAACATCGAAGGCGCTCCTCACACAAGATACAATGTTTTCAACGAGAATACTTGAAGGACAAAGGAATAAGTGTCTGGATTTAGTTTTAGCGGAAACATCAGACTGTATAGACGAGATTGTCCCCGTACCACCGCTCGGCCGAAGTGACTATGTAATGCTTATGTGGGATGATTCTTTATTCTCCGTTTTGCTTACTCTTGACTAAGAAGGACGTGAAATTTGGCGAGGCAAATTCGATCAGATGAGAGCAGATATATCCTTTCTCGATTGGGGCCTAATGTTTACAGGTAATCCCAGCAAGGATTGGTAGTTGTTTAATAATGTATTTTTGCAGTTCACCAACAGCCGCTGCCCACTAATAGATGCAGGACCCAGTAAAGGGTTTGAATGGCTAGATATAAACCCAAAGAAGGAAACAAACAGGGAGCGATAATCGTGGAGAAGATACTGCATCACTGAGCAAGTCTAATGTTTCAACGATAACAAGACACAAAGAAACAAAATGAGAAGTATGATCACTAAAACGCGCCAATAATTGGAGAAAAATTTGCTACGAAAAGCAACGCGGAGTCCATGATGAATCTACAGCCACCTCAAAAGAAGTACAAAGAACAGACATCAAATCTTCTCAAAAGGACAATGGGATGGCGCTGAAATCGCTTATAGCAGGGATACGACTGTTTACTTCTCACAATTCTTCCAATCCTTCTACAAAATCGAGACAAGGTTGCTTCCTCCCTCAACAGAAGAACTACTGACCCCAAGCATAAGCAATATACACCTTTCAGAATATCGTATCCTAAGAGAATCATAGGCATCGAATGAATCGAAGTCTCCAGGACCAGATGAGATTCCACCCAAGCTTCTCAAAGAACTTGTCAGTCATCTTTCTATACCTCTGTCGAGGTCCTTCAAAACGTAAACTAACACTAAAACACCTTCGGTCGATTGGAAACTGAGGCATGTGAAATCATTATGCGAAGACTGTGGCAGGGCGTCGACGGCAAATTAAAGGCCCACAAGCTAGACATGAATTCTCAACACAGCGGGATCGTGAAGAGCGATTTGTTACAGTATCTAGAAGTTCACAACTTACTATCGAACTGCCAACACGGGTTCCGGAAAGGAAGATCTTGTAGGACAAACTTGCTGCAATCTCTCCAGAGTTGGACCCGAGCCCTCGATGACAGGCACGTGGTTCACATCGTTTTCATAAACTTCCAGAAGGCCTTCGACACGATGCCACACCACATACCTGTATACAAGCTGGAAAGTGGATTGTCAATGGCAACTTCTTCACATGGACCGGAAATTTCCTTGTGGGTCGGCAGCTGGCTGTGCGCATTTGTAATGAGAAATCAGATCCTGGTGTAATCAGGAGTGGTGCTTACCAGGGTCCAATATTGGGACCTATTTCTGTCAGATGTGCGTACGCGATTTCGTTGGAGATTTAAATTGCAAAACAGTAATGCTTGCTGATGACATGGAAATTCGGACTGAGAATCCTGAGTGTACGGTTATTGTGGATATTTATTTATTACCGGATTCTCCTGCCCTACCTATCTGTCCTGTCGGGCCTTGTCAGTAAACTTTTCATGGAACCCATCATTCTCAATTTTGTGCAACTACGTTGGTGGATTGGATGCCGGTATGATGGAACATAACAGGAGCATGCTGAACTCGGCGAATTATTGGAAAAGAACAGGAATCAACGATTTTCGGGGTCCATGCCCAAATGAGTTAAAAAAAAACCCAGAGGCTTGGGAGATGCACTGGGGGTCTCGGTGGAAGTCATGAACCTGAAATTATTCACTTTGAATACCCACTAATTAAAAGTATTCGTATGCGCTGTTTGCATGGCGCGGGTTTTCGTTTGTCGTCCTGTGGTGGCCGAAGACGCTGGCGGCAGCACATATGGGGTGACGTGGAGCACTAGATATTATTTCTGGCTAATATGATCTGAAGAGAGTTTCCAAACGGGTCATTTATCAATTCAGTAAGGCGGAAAATATGGCACGGCGACAGCGGGAGAGGAGTCGGCGGGGGACGTGAGGACATGTCCTGCAGAACACCGATTATTATCGTCGAAACACGATCACATTGTCTTCATACTGGATCTGCGCTTCAAAGGTGTCACATCATTCAAACAACCGTGGACAGTTCAAGGGACGTTGCACCAGTGAGGCTGACGGATGTTCTGTCTGGGCGGTCGCGCTAGAAACCTTTGCGGACATCCAGGATGGGGTCGGCGCGACCCGGTGCCCCTCCCTCTCAAGCGCTGACACGTCCCCAAGTCCCACGATCTGAAGTGCAGCTCCTTAGTAACAAACTGCATCGAGTTAACATCCATTTGTCGAGATATTCCGCAGACGCCGGAAATCGGATGTAATACGGTACGCCTATAACCATTTTCTTAAAGCAATACCCATTCTGACTCCCAGCTCCTTCAAATTTACCTTTATTGTTCCCTCCCCTTCGCCCTAAAGCATTATCGTGTCCAATCTAGTGAACATGGTATATGAGATGAGTAACTCTGAAGACGCCTAATATGGAATAATTGTATTTAAAAATATAGTTAGTGCATATGTACAGCGCTTAGATGCTCGCCATCAGTTTTAATTGTGTCGACGGGGGCGGGTTACCGGAGGATGACCCGGTAATGTTGTCTATAAGTCGGAATTAGTTATGGAAAATTGGTTATCGACTTGCCACTTGAATGCTGGAATGATTCTTCGGTTGCTCTGGACATAGCTGTACAACGACCTTTTTACCCGCTTGGTGAACGCAGACTAGAGGCCAGATAACCTTGCGGTACCGTTTTTATCCCTTTTCACTGAAGACCTCTGAATACTGTAGTGATACAAGTGACGACAAACATACCAACTATAACCTCGTAAAGTTTGGATCCGCTCAGGCTCTCCTTAATTTCCCGTCCTTTGGAATTAATGCACGTGCTAATTTCGTCATCGAACAAAACGAGAAATATTCGCTTGACTAAGTCGTCAACACTGTGCCAACCACAAAAGGTGGTTTCGGAAATCAGTGTCCAGTAGTCGTACATTCACCGGGCGGAACCTAGCCACCGAACGTAGCTGTTGGGCTACAGGATCCCTCGGCAGCTGGGCAGCTACCTGGCCGGAAGTTGTTGGCCACTGGAGAATCATCGTCTGCAACATTCGCTGATGACCCAGCAGATTATGTTGGCTCTCCACTACAATATTTTTTGTAGCGTTGGCCGATACGCTCTCGATCGGTGTCTGGTAACACTTTAGAAGAATGACTCGATGGAAAAGTGACATTGCGATCGTTCGACTGGTCTCCTAGTGGGAGGGTGTCGAAAAAATCATTGGAGTTCTGCGTTTCTTAAAAAGTCTAACAGCGTTGTTTTGTGCGACTTGCTGACGGTGATACGCCTTCACCTCCTAGTAGGTAGAGCGCCTCATCTATCGCTGGCCACTGTTGTCGCTGAGAGATTCGATGGAAGGAGAAGTCGTTCATGATAATATCTACAAATGCACAGGAAATTAGGTGAAGTGGTCTTTCCGTTACTATGGCCACTTCTTACAATGCTCGCAAATTACTCACTATGTGGGCTGTGCGTTTGTGGGGTTCGCGAGCACTTCGCAAAGACGAAAGGACAGTAAGTGGCGCTCTGGAAGTTCTTAATAATTCGAACTAGTATGTAATGGTTTTCCCATGAAAAGCAGAAATACTTGGTGAATTTTTTTGGCAAAGGCACGCAGCTGATGGCAAAAAGTGAAGACTTCTTTGGGTAGTCAAAGTAGTCAGAAATGTTGGTGAATTCACTGAGTATTCAGCCTACACATCCACCATGATCGAAAAGTGCGTTTTTAACACTTACTATCTTACTGCCGACGCTATGGAATCTATTGGCCGGTGTGATGTCCGTGCGAAAGCGTCCTGTGAGCAGGCCTTCATATTGCCAACTGTTTTCGCATCCAGATGGTACTGGTCCCTCGTGCCAATGAAGGAACCTTCTTTAAGGTGGCCTCGACGGGTCGCACGCGGTTACATCTACTTTGCCTAGAAGTCTGGCTATCTGCTGGAGAGGTCGTAAAGGCCTCCCAAGCAACTTCTTTGACCTACCTAAAACTTTCGAAAGGAAAAGACGAAAAGGAAAATTAACGCGCGATCACTTGTAGGCAAACAAAACTGCTCATTTGACGTTGCATTCTCAGTCTCTGATGATGGCCTCCTGCACGAGAGCGAAAGCTCAGGCTGCTACATGTGCTGTTCAGGTGGTTGCATGTTAATCATCTTTGCAACAAGAACCTGGGACTCGCATACTCGCCTCTATTCGTGGGACTAAAGGGAGTCCAAGGCACCATGACGCGTTTCTTCATTCTCAATGTGTATTGGACTATGGACATTGTTGACCATGCACTCGTCGCCGTACAACGTAGAGAAAAGTGCAATCAAATAATCCCAACTACAAGCTAGAAATCTTAGAGTAGTAGAGAGCAGCAAGTACAGTTGGAAATGATTGAGGCAGGATTTCAGAGAAAACAACAAGAGCGATATATAATGCAAGTTGCCTTCCACGACTCAAAGTAACCTAAATATCTACTTCTGTGGGAAAATTCCGCCGGAAGGTATACGTCTATGGAGCGTGCTCTATCGTCTATAGCCTTCATCATCACCTTCACACTCATGCTGGGACACATCAAGTTCATCCTAAATCCTCGCGAAGGTCCCTTCTTGGCGATTCCAACAAAGCCTCCGTCCGTATTAGTGATGCATGATACATGATACAACGCCCAGGAGTATTGTGTGAAGGATTCTAGCGTAATTCTCTCTATTTACTAGAAAAACGATGTTGAACGCCCTTTATAGCCAGGTCAATGCAGAGTCGGACGGAGTGTTTAGAATGTTAAGGAGATTGGTTGCTTGTGCGTAGGTAAGATGCAAGATAGAGCATACTTTCTGCCCCTCAGTTTCTTGTTTATCCGTTTCTTGCTCATTTTTTATTGTTCCATTTCCGCTTATTGGGAGTACCTCTAAACGGATCTCTGCCCTTTCTAGACATTCGTCGGTCCTGAAGTATTGGGGCACATTACGATGTCACAATGCCTCCGTCCACATAATCTCCGAGAGAGATAGGGTCCTACGACATCTTGTAGTATCCTTGTGAGGGGTAATCCTATTTCAGAGTGACAATTCCGAATTTGATTCGTGAGAGTTAATCATCCCAGCACAATAGATCGACCAATCCATCCCACCGCCACCGCCATTGTACTGGTCGAAGACATTTACAACGTTGGTCATTCCAGCTGTGTGAGATGTCTCGAATCGCTCATTCACCTTAACACATACGAAGAAGGTCGGCAAGCACACGAATGCGCATATACCTGAGACTCCGAGACTATACGTGAACAGTAGATACCCAAACTATGTCGGCGGCGGGGAAAGCTCCCTTCTTCCATACCATAATTACTCGTCTGATAAGAAGGTAGATGGGAATCGGTTTCCTAGTCTGATGGTTGTCAGCAAATAGGAAGAGTGCTAGACACCCGGGAGATGGGGCGGACTCGAAAGTTTGCACTTCGGACAGAACCGTGTAAAAGTGCGCGGGCGTCCAAATTTGGAACTCCTGTTTTGCGTTTTCTGACCGGAGATCACAGACAAGACGGTCTGAGATCTGCCGCGACGCATCCGTGCTTAGGTAGGCCCAGTGAGCCAGGGGGAGGACGTCAAAGTAATAATGGGCGTCCCGTTAAGCTCTTGAGCTCTGGGATTGAACCCATAACGAAGTGCGTCTCAGGGTTTCTGTGGGACGAAGAGGAAACTGAAGTCGTCGTGGCGGGTTCTAAGGACTGAAAAAAGCGACAGGCTTGCTGCCTTAGAATTTATCGAAGGCGGACGGGCAAGGGCCTGGGAATACGCATTACAGAGTTCTTGGTCGTCAAAATCGCCAGAGGTTTCGAATAAGGTGGTCCGGAGGGGGTTGGGAAGTGTCAGATGATACTGGGAGAGCGGGTTTGTAAGAACGATTGCAATGTGGTGAAAGCTGGCGGAGCGAGTTTGAGGCATGACTGAAAAGTTGGCTTCCAGATATGCAAGTGGGTCCAAGCAACAGTTTAGCGGGTGACCATGAGAAATTTAAGGGTGAAAAAAACGTTGCCACCGAATGTCCGGCGCTGCGCAAAGGCCCGATTACGAGAGTCGTGGGCGCTGCGGACTTTGCATGTCATAGGTGGTCTTCATGGCTGTATTGTGATGCGCGGTATTTCGTCTCTATGGCTGGTCCCTTTCTTTTGCAGCACTCAACAGCAAAGCAAACCAACCCAAGCCGGCCACTGATTGCCGAATCTCCTTTCCCGGCTTATGCGTCCCGCAACGGCCTCGCCACCAGTTAACTATGCACTTGCGACCGCAGCTGATTGCGTCGTCGTTTCTCCACCCCTTACTTGCTCGGTATTTAACTGCTTTATAACTATTTATTTTTCGTTTGTCAAGTAAAAATACCCTCGCTTATAATTGGCGAACAATTATATCCTGCCGTTGGTATTCATCCTATTTGCCTGTTTGAAATTTTAATTCTGCATCCTCGTCTAAACTTCCCCCCACCCAGGTCGTTGTGTATCACAACAACAACCGCAACCCAGAAGATGCCAAAGTAAGTGCTTCATACAAGCAGCGCTCGTCTGCGTGAATTCCTTCATAATTTTAACTCTTTCTTAGATACTACTGCGATTACTGTGACAAGTTTTTGACGCATGACTCTCCGTCTGTGCGCAAGACACACTGCACCGGCAGAACCCACAAAAATAGCGTGAGTGATTACTACCGAAAGTGGTTGGAGGATCAGGTGCAGAAGCTGGTTGATCATGCCTGTGAGTTTCAAAATTTTACTAATTCCACCTTGCTAGCTGAGGCATACAAACAGGGTAAGGTTCCGCCGCCTATGTTTGGAGCCGCGATGGGAATACCTCCACCGGGAATACAAAATCCAGCAGGGATGCCTGCCTACCCACCCGGCTTTCCGCCGCTGATGAGCGTCCCTCCACTAGGCATGGGGCCACCACAGGGTATGGTTCCGGGGATGAGGATTCCCCTGGGTGCCCCAATGCCACATGCTTGGACACCCGGACCTGGAAGCATGCCGCCTATGCCTGTTGGTGCTGGTGGTGTGCCAGTTCCCTCAGCGACTCTGCCAACGCCTGGGATACGCCCTCTGATGCCTGCCCCCGGGGTACCGCATATGGGTCCCCCACAGTAACCTGATTTTGCACGGAATATACGTGTTTTATTAATTTCCCCACCCACATTTGTTGCAAGAAATGAGTACTGGTATTACTTTTGGTCTTGTCAAGATAGGACATAAGTGTCGCCAATCATGCGTCGCATAGTATGTATACGGATGTTAAAATCGACCGACAGAGTTGTACTCAATACTACTATGGACACGCTCGTCGTTTCGCATTATAGGACGCGCGCATGTCTAACAATCAGAGGACTACGAGCACTCGACCTCGAGGAAAAATCGTCTAGGCAAATGCCACTGCCTGCCGCCGACAATCAGGCTTTTAGGGTATTCCTTGTGCACTTGTTTTGCGTGCTCACCCCCTCGATGCCATACCAATGCCGATGTGTTGGGGATTGGTTTACTTGTCAGCCAGATGTCTAAAGAGTTGTCTTCGTGGACCACTGTGCTCATGTTTCAGTTGGGGGAATGGGATCTAGTATCAGCAAAAGGAACTTGACATTTTGAACTTTCGGGAGTCTTGCCAGGAAAGCAACAGACAAGACGGCCTGGTGGCGGACCTGAGGTAAATATTGCAATCAGGCACCCCCTTGACGGTGCTTAATTCCCCGCTCCTATATTTAGTACCCTGTCAGTGGGTGTCAACAGTGAAGATAAGCGGGGGGAGGGGGTTTGCCCGATGCGTCCACGGGTACTTGATAGTAGAACGGCCGTCAGCAAAGGTTGGCCGGAAATGGGCGGGCCTTCTAGGACGCGCCACCACTGTCCTGCGCTTAGACTATGGCGACCAGGCGCTAGAGGCGTAAACCTTGAGCTTTCATGGGGATCCGCGTCGGCTCTGAGTCCCTGAGTGTCTTCGCCACTATAATCCGCGCTACGGCGTCCGCCAGGACTGACGCGCTCCTTAATCCGCGTCCAGTGATACGAATGGTATGTGACCTGAAGTACCCACTCGAGGACGGACTCATCGTGTCAAATAAGCAAATGCACGTGTGTTTCCTGACCCAGATCTCATGGCATGGTCCTCCTCAGGACGACGTGGGTGCCTGCTGTATGTCGGAGACTCGTGCTCTTTAGAAATCGAGTTCGCGGGTGTTAGCTCTCACCTCACAGCTACCCGCGCAACTCGTCTGACAGACGTGGTTATTCTATCTGTGTACTAACGCCAGCTGCCGATCAGCGCGACAAAAACCCTTTCGGACGCAGCTGTGAGAACAGGTCGTGCAACTCCTTATTCCTAGTGTGATAATTATGGCCAGATACGGGACTGACCTGGCTGGACCAGGTGACTCGCCAGAAAACTGCCTTACTGACCGTCTTGGACATGGCCCCTGGTACAACAATAGTGAGACGGCGCAAACACATGGTCACCTGAAATTCGGACAATGACCGTACAGCCAGCCATTTTTATAAAAACAATACAAATTCACCGTGAGAGTGGAGACTGTTTTGGTCGCAAGAAGACGAGTGAAAACTCAGCATGTGATGGACGTAACTACCGGGTCGGTGCCAACAGTCTCTGTCACGAGCTTAAAACCAAACAGACGAGGTAACCAGAACCTCCACCTTGCGCCCTCTGAGCAATACAGGGCTAAGGGGTTCACGGACAGGAAACTCGAGCAACTAAGTCGAAGGCGAGGTGGCAAACAAGGCCAAATGCTCCAGAGTGAGTGTCCCGGCAAATGCTGGGTCATATGAGACCCACGGTGGGACGGATGGGAGTGCGCCCACGAAGTCCTGTGGGGGGCCGGTTCGGGATCCCGCCCAGGGGGGCTGGTGAGCGAAGCCAGGGCGGCACATCAATCACTGGGGGCCACGACGTTAGGACTGCTGTTCAAATAGGTGGACTTGTGAGATCATTGTGCCCAGTAGGGGTCAAGATACCTAGAGTGTGTCAATGCGTCTCGGGGCGCGTAATAAAAGTATGTATGCCATCGTGGAAGATTTGGAGAGACCTAGACGTAAGGATGTGAGGATGTAAAAGGCCTCGGTCGTCATAACGATAGCGAGGACTCATGCCTACGGCCTCTTGTCTTGAAGTTGTGAAGGAAGTTGTCCTAAAAGGATGAGAAAGGTGGAGCTAATGGTGTCAGTGTGAAGATATAGGTACGGTTTTCTCTTAAATATGGTGAGGCTAGATGCTGACCTGATATCATTTGATAAGTTATTCCAAGGTAAGGTGTATTTTGGAAGAAGCGAGGACTGTTAGGGACGGGAAAAGTTGGCGGAGTTACGAAAGCGGACCGAAAGTAGAGGAAGGAGGCAGAGACAAAGTTAAAGTCTCCTAGCCAATGAAAGTCAAACGTTTGCTAACTGGTATCTGACAGAATAAGTATTGACAAGGTACTATCACCGATAAAGACAAGGGAGACTGGGGTGGTTGCTTCTGGCTCATTAGTCGTCGTCAGTTAGTCATGCCCGACCTCGAGGTGGGCAACACCTGGGGCTCGATCCCGCGACCTATCGGTTAGAAGGGGATGTTGGGCGTCTAACCAATGGGTCTGGTTAGACACCTTGGAGTGACGGATGATCCTAGGAGGCCTGACAATGGTTAACCCTCCTGTTAAACGACAGAAGGCACTGTGGATCGTAGCCAGTGCCTTAGGTTCCTGACAGGAACCGACGAGATCAACTAGGCGCTAGGCAGTTGCCAAAGAAAACTGGTATTCAGTGCAAGTGAAACACCTAATTGAATAACGAATATGGGAATGATTCTGAAAGGAGGTAATACCGACAGAGGCAAGAGAGACTAGGATGGCTAGCTCTGGCTTATTAGCTTTCATTGCCCGACCATAGACAGTCTTGGGGGTGCATGGCCTGAGATTCGAGCCCGGACCCATTCGGAATTGAGGCTTTTTGAGTTCAGCGCCCCACCATTCAGCCACAAACCCATCGTCATATCGGTTGTACACGGCATTCAGGAGGCGTAGTTCAGGATCCCCGGTTATTCAAAGCCTGGACTGGGTATGGCTGGCGGATGGCAGCTAACAGGCCAGAAATGGCCATCTCAGTCGACCTGGTCTTTGTTCCTATTCCCTCCTGCATTATTATTGGTCGTCTTGCAACTGCCTGCAATGGCCCTAGGCAGTCACTTAACGATGCCAGCATTAGCAAGCACCCATATCCTTGCAGACAACCGTGACCGTCTTTCAGACGAATAGCATCCTTCGAGTCCCCGTCGACTACAATCCCGCTTTTGATATGTTATAGTCGTTGGAGCACGAACGACAGTTAAACCCCACATTGACGCATTTGTCTGACCCATCATTCGCTAGGACACAGCGTGGGACTCGTTTTTTCTTCTTCCCAAGTGCTGAAGTGACGGCTTTCTCGGTTTGGTGACAGCTACTAAACGCCCATTGTTAGCCAATTGCTTGCGAGGTGGGCGTTTCAGTCTTCCGCCCGCTGACACTGTGATGCCGATAACTATTTTCGGCCTCAAAGATTTGCCTCAGCTCAGACGTATGCTGGCACCCCACGCTGTAGTTGACGACATCACCGACTGGCTCTCAACTTGATGAAAATTTTGTTGTGGGACAAAGTCAAGGCAATCGTGGGTGGGCCTGAGCGCAACGACTAACAAAAGGCCGGTCTACGCGTGCCACACACAACCCGGTCTCTAACTCCATGCACACACAACAGGTTTCGCTCAGAAGGGGCTCGGATTTTGCACAGGCGAGAATGCCATGAAGGCTATAATAAGAAGGAGTCATAGAGCCCATCCATTAGTCCGTGGTGGAACCAGGGAACACTGTCAATTGGTGACCTCCCAAACCACGACCCTCAGTGCGTCTTGATGGAGGAGAAAGCGCTGGATCCCAGCTGGATAGACCTCCATCTATCAAACGCACGCTACAAAAGGGCTCATGTCTCACAGGCGTGGGTTGTGGCGGTCCGAGTGGTGGGCGTACTCGAAAGTAATAACCACATTAACCAAGTCAAGTTTTGTTAAGGGCAGGAAACCGAGGGCGCCAGAACCCCGAGTTACCCTGCCAGGTGGCAGTGGCCGCAGACGAGGTCAGGCCAGAGAGTTTGACCACGATGTCCGTTTCTTTTAATGCGTTTGTGGGAGCGAATTCGGGTGTCCGGGGGTGCGAGCGGTGTGCGCGCCGCCATGGATGGACGCATGTTCGGTTGCTGCAGTAGGCCAAGGTGTAAGGTCAGCGCGTTTGGGACGACTGGCAGCAAAGGTGAACAACCTTGACACGGCAGGACATTGAGCAAATTTTTCAGGCAACTTACCGATGACTCTCGGATAGAAGCTTCAGGGGCAGCAGATCTACTGTAGTAAGGAGTGATTTCCTCCGCAGTATCAATCTCGCTAACTTCTCCATTTCTCATGGCCATTTGAACCCGTCAGCTGACTAGGGATGAGATTGGGCGCGCTGGTTTACGTGGCACCTGCCACGCGCTTGCACACAAGCAGGGAAATAGTTCGCCCTTCGTCGTCAACGTCGGCAAACAGTACAGTCTCAACTGTATACGCATGCGCCGAAAATGTCCATGACTTCACTTTAAGTGTGGGAACGGCGTGAGATTGTGTAGCGGGAGATATTTTAACGACTGTTACCGTGTATGCGCATGTGACCTGACAGGATCACCTGTGGTGGCCGAACACGCGAGTGCAGTTTGGGGAACAATGTATGGATGATGGGCTTCGTCTGCTGTTCCAGGACTTCGTCCTCCTGCGACGCTGCGATGTATTCGCAGGTAACCGACCGGACCGATGTGTGACTGGAATGCGCGGTCGCAGTGCGAATAGGAGGTAGTGTGAGTGTGTTTTCCTATCTATGACGAGGTTACCGTTGCGATGGAACACAGCTTTGCAAGGAGGACAGGGAGGGGGGATGTTCTAATAATAACACTGGGGATAGTGGTGTCTGTTTGTGCAAACTACTTCCAGCGCCAACTGCACTATTGTAACTCTGTTTGTTGCATACTTGCAAATATGTGGGCACCAGCGGTAGTTCTTCGCCTGACATTCTTGGGATCTGAATGGAGCTGTCATCGCGTCC